GGTAGATTCTTTCCCGGACATTCATTTCCGGTCAAATACATACGAATTGAATATCTATGTATGTATGTATTCCACGTCCATTGATGCGACCCGAGTCGGGTCGAGTAGTAAATCGAAAACGCCAATTTGACGAAAACCGGCCTTAGGCCGGTATTCATAGTCGGATTTTATTTCAAGACCGTCTTAAGGGTCATGACGAATTACGGATTCGTAATAACAAGATTTCTCATAAAGTAAGTTACATAGATTCGTGAATTTTTTTTATATACTCTTTATATAATAATGCAGTCAGCTACAGAGACCGATTTTGGATTTTTGCTCTTAAAAATTTATAATAAATAAAATACGGACTCGCAGCGAGTCGCAGCTAAGCCAACCCGACGAGGGAAGCGCCTCTTCCGAAGAGATCAGACCCACCCAATAAAATTTTCCCTCTTTTTTAATGCTGTACGCATTAAAAACCCTGGTAGTTACGGCAGCACTTTGAATAAATGAGCTAGGGAACGCTAGAGACACGGACCGGAACGAAAATGGCCGGTATTCATAGTTATTTAAGACCGTCTTAAGTTCAATTATAAGATGTCATGAACCAATCACAGAGCCGTATTAGCGTCTTAAGACATTACTTAAGACAATCTCGAAGACTATGAATACCGGCCCATCTTAAGTACAATCTTAAGATGTCATTAACCAATCGCAGAGCCGTATTAGCATATATTTTAAGATATTACTTAAGACGGTCTTGAAGACTGTGAATATCAGCCGTGTCCCTGACTTGGCAGATCAGGATACGCCAAAGCTTGTGCGTTACTTATGCTAGGTCTACAATGCGAGTCGTAAAGTCGTGAGTCGTAAGAATTGACCAATCACAATCTAATTTAAGGAGAATAATTGACTGTGATTGGTCAATTCTTACGACTTACGACTTTACGACTCGCATTGTAGACCTAGCATCATATAGTTATTTAAGACCGTCTTAAGTTCAATCCTAAGATGTCATGAACCAATCACAGAGCCGTATTAGCGTCTTAAGACATTACTTAAGACGATCTTGAAAACTATTGGCCGGTATTTATAGTCGGTTCTTATATTTAAGACCATCTTAAGTACAATCTTAAGATGTCATTAACCAATCACAGAGCCGTATTAGCATCTTAAGATATTACTTAAGACGGTTTTAAAATAAGATCTGATTATGAATACCAGCCTATGAATACCGGCCGTAGACCTAGCATAAAATCGCGTAAGGACGTAAAACGTAACCGTAAGAAAATCGACCAATCCCAATCAAGTATTGTGCTGTCTGTAACCCCAGTAGGGAAAAATACTCGATTGGGATTGATCGATTTTCTTACGCTTACGTTTTACGTCCTTACAGCATTTTATGTGTGAATAAGACCTTTAGTAGAGAAACGCAAATTTGTTTCTCCTTCTGATATATAGAGGCACCTGTAAGTTATTTTTTAGATATTATTCTTTAGTTTAGAGTTTACTACAAAAATATGTAAACAGCTGTTTTATTTTTTCTCTTATATTTTTCTTTATTTATTTCTATATTTACTTGTTCTATGTTGGTTTTCATATTTTGTTTGATGTGTTATAGGTTATATTATTTGGTTCTTAATTTGTTAACATAATTATCTTTGTTTCAGCAAATTAAATGTGGATATTGTGGTTGGCTCATGACACATGAATGTTTTAAAGAATACGATGAAAATAAGTACGCTTTGAGCATTGACAAAAATATGGCGTTTTCGATTTGCTACTCGACCCGACTTGGGTCGCATTAATGGACGTGGAATACATATGTACATAGTATGTACATATGTATTCCACGTCAATGATGCTCGAGTCCAGGAAGTCGATTACGGTTCTTGAGGTCGATTCTGGCTGCATTCCGATATTCACTGTCAGTACTGCAAATCTATATTTTACGTCACGTTTACTATAGATTTTCAGTACTGAAAGTTGCTGACAGTGAATTTTGGAATGCAGCCTCTGTATTTTAAGACGAAGTAAAAATTACAAAAGTGAACAGATTTACTAGATTTCAACCAATGAAATCATAG